CTCTACTCTACCCCAAGGCCGCCAATCCCTCGTGGCACTGCCCTTACCCCTAATGTTGTAGAATATATGGTTGCACTGGCGAACACTGCAGCACCAAGACCAGTAGGTGATGCCCTCGCTCAGATCTCCCTCCCATCGAGATCAGACCCGTCAAAACTGGATATCGCAACGGGATCGTCGGCTGTGTTGTGGTGCGCAAGCTTTCTCATGCTGACCATTGCTTTTGTGACTTTGTATGCACGTTGTGGAACTTCAAAACCAGAATCAGATCATAACCACGGCTGGTCCGTCTTACCAAGCTTACCAGGCTAGATCACCTTTTCGAACTGACTAGACACCTAGGGACGCAAACTCTGTCCCTCGTCGAGCTCGACCGTCGCAGAGTGTCCGCGCACACGTACACAGCACCCCGTCAAAGCTGCCTTTCGACCCACAATCACGGTCATGAGTGGAGAAGGCAGCGGCGGCAGCGTCGGTGGAGGCGGCAGCAGCGGTGATGCCGGCGATCACGAGCGCGGCCGCAGTCGGCGCCCCAGAGCCGAACCCGACGAGATCCCTGACCAGCAGCACCGCAGCGGCTCGCCGCCTGTCCGCAGGGCACGCAGCGGCAGCGTCAGTGGCGGCCAGCGGGATGGCGGCGATGGCGGTGGCGGCGGCGACGAGGAGCGTGGCTCTGGCGGCGAGGGGCGCGGCGAGGCTGGCGGCGACGAAGCAGCGGGAGGAGCCAAGGGCCGCAGCCGCAGCAGGAGCAGGAGCAAAAGCAGGGGCAAGAGAGGCGGGCGCAAGCGCGGCGGCCGGGGCAAAAAGCGGCGCTCCAGGAGCGGCAGCAGCAGCCGCAGCGGCGGCAGCAGCAAGAGCGGCAGCAAGAGCAAGAGCAAGAGCCGCAGCAGGAGCCGCAGCAGGAGCCGCAGCCGGCGCAACGACCGGCGGCGAAACAGGTGTGTGCGCTTGCACGCCAGCTCGCCGGTCGTGAGGCGCGGCATGTGTCACCCACCCGCCTCACAAACTCCCTCCCGTAATGCAGCCGGCAGCCGAGGCGAATCGCCCCGCATTCTGCCCTGGCGTCGCATGCACCACCCACTCATGTGCCACCATGCGTCCATGCCCCCCTCCCCTGCAGCGTATGCTCAACCCCTTGACGCACGCGAGCTTCCTGCTATGCGGCCTCCCTCCCACGCCCGCCCCC